ACTGCAAGGGACGCAGGAACGGCTGCCGAGTTTCCTGATAAATTATAGCCGCTCCTTCCCTGGCCCTGAGCCCACAGGATCCCAGCTCTCGTGTAAATCAGACTAATGAAAGCTCAGGTTGTCATTTTCAAGAGCAGGCAGTCACTCAGTAAACCTTCGTGGGGTGTCCGCTAGGTGCCCGGGGCCTGCGTGGACCATGGGGGATATGCACACAAACAGGTGTGGGTGTGGGGCTGGGGGGTGGGGGGCCCACGGCAAGGGGGCCGGGGCAGCGGGCAGCCACCAGGCAGCCTGGGGAACCAGCTCCACCACCTCCCAGCTTTGTGGCCTTGGGCCGGTGCCTCAGCCTCTCTGAGCTCTGGTCCCCTTTCACCGGATGGTGGTAGAAATTCAACAACAGTGTGCCAGGCCTAGCCCGGTGCCTGACACGGGGTTGTGGGGGCACAGTGAACCGTGAGGGCTCCCTCTATCTCCTCGGCTCCTGCGGTGAGACCCGCAGGGCCAGGCCAAGGGAGAAAAGCTCACCCAACCTGGGGACACGGGAAGGATTCACAGAACAGGACATGGGCAGGCAGGACGTCCAGGACCAGGGTTGGGGGAGGAGGGAGGGTGCTGAGAGGGAAGAAGAGCAGGCGGAGGCCCAGATGGGGGCGAGAAGTGTGAGGCAGCAGAGCTCGGGGTCACAGGGGAGGCTGCACTGAGGGTGAATGAATGGGGACAGTGTGCTGTGATGGTTCTGGGACTGCCGGCTGGAGGCTGGAGGCTGGAGGGGCCGGCTGGACTAAGCCCCTGGGCTGGGCAGTGGGGCGGAGAGGGGAAGGAAGCGGAGCTGGAGAAGGGGCATGTGTGACCGGACGGGCCACCGGGGAGCAGATGCTTGTTGTGGACAGGGAGGTGCACACGCACACGGAGACAACCACACGGAGAACATCCCTGAGCGTGCGGAGGCTCGGAGATGGAGACACACACAGACGGACCCCCCTGAGCGCAGTCAGACACACGGACACACAGCCCCCGGGGCAGACGCCGGAGAAAAGAGAGGACCTGTCTCCACAGGGCCCAGCCACAAAGCACGTCTCTCAGAGCTCACGCGACACTGGACACGGTGCCCGACTCGTCCCAGTCTGGCGGGGACGGTCCCATTTCACCACGCAGAGCCCCACGTCCCGGAAGCCCCTGGGCCCCGGGAAGCCGGGACCGTTGGAGAGCTGCGCCCAGCGCCCAGAGACTCGGACCTGCTGCACCTGGTTCTCGGTCCCGGCTATTAGCAGAGCTGTCTTCGTTAGAGCTCAGGGAGTTAGACGTTCCAGGATCCCCGGGGCTGGCAGGCAGGGCACCAGGGTCCCCCTGCTCCACGGTGCGGTCTGAGCCCAGGAGCCGCCCCCATTCTGGGCCTCTGGTGCCCATCTGTGCAATAAACCGCAGAGGGGGAGGGCAACCCACCGGGTTCACCCCCAACTCTGTCTTAAAGCAGCTGAGGGAGCTGCATCTTCATCTGCGTGAGGGTCAGTCCCTGGGCCTGGTGATGGACGGATGCTGGACAGATGCCCGCACGCACGGATGAACGTTCACGGAGCACCTAGGACAGGGCCCCGCGCCGTCAGACCTCAGTAAATGCCCACGGCTGGTATGTATTCTCCCTCGGGCTGCACGGTCCCAGCTCCCCAGCCCCTGCACCTTCCACTCCATTAACCTAGAAGAAGCCCCCTCCCCGGCACAGGCAGGTGCGGCCCCGCCCCCAGCCTTCCCCAGGAATCCGGCTCTTCTTTGTCTTCTTCTGCTGACTCCCCGATTGTCCCCGCGCCGTGGCCCCAGGCCCCACGGCTGCGTCCTGAATACCCCCACTGGGACCCTCTTCAGAGCCCCCAGCTTTCGGGACTGAACTCTGACCTCCATTCTTCCAGCCTGAACCCGGCCTGCCCGAGGGCACGGGGCCAGGCCGGCAGGCCCCGGGAGGCTGAGGCCCTGGCGCCCCTCCAAGCAGAAGAAGCCGACCTCAGCAGAAACGTCCCCGACAGGGACAACAGGGAGGCAGGTCAGCGGCCTGGGGGGAGCTGGCAGCGTGGGGTCTGCGGAGTCAGGAGTCAGGCGGAGGGGCCAGCAGAGAACAAAGGGGACTCAGAGAGGGGGCCCGGGCCCAGCTCCCGCCTCCAAAATCCCGACCGGCGGGGACACACCGGGAGTGGGCTGTGACTGCAGACAGCTGATGACACCCACTCTGGCCTGGACTCGGGGTGCTGTGCTCCGACGGCAAGGCCGTCTGACACCCAGGGGAGCCCCTTTCACGGGCAGCTCCTTGCAGATGGCCCCCATGCAGCCGTCAGGAGCACGAGGCTCCCGGCCTGGGACTGCCGGCGTGTCCCCTTTCTCCGCCTGCTAAGGCCCTTGTCACCCTTCAGAGCCCTGCTTGGGCTTCGTGTCACCCTCCCTGGGAAAGTCCGACACCCCCACAAGTTAGAGGCCCCTCCACACGGTCCCAAATTTGGTCTGGGTGGAGTGATCTTCCCCTGTCTGTCCCTCCGCCCGTGAACCCCATGCTGGGCTCAGAGTGTTCTTTCCAAACACAGAGCGAGTCCATGAATCTATTTATTCACGGAGCTGATCTTCCAAGAGTCTCTTTGCTCCAGAGGTTCAAAGATCAGTGTTCCGGCCAAAACCCCAAGGGGATCCCGACCGCAGGCACGTGTGTGAGTGAGCGTGCCACGCACACCCAGGGCGCCCTGGGGACAGGCGAGAAGCCGCAGACGGAGGCTTGAGCGGCTGTGGGCGGCCCGCTCAGCCGGGAAGCCGCCTTTGCCTGCTCACCGGCACAGTGTCCTCGGACCAAGGCATACGGGGCCACGGCCTGACTGCCGATCTTGGCCACCCCCAGGTGGGGCTCTGCCACCTCCCACGTGTCACCAGAATTGCACTAGAAACTCCCAGCCCTGTCCCCGGGCCTCCCGCTGCCCCGCCAGACCTCCCCGCTGCAGCCTGAGGTACCCCCACATTCCAATGCTGTGCTCCGTGTCGCCCACACCGCCACCCCACACCTGGCCCTCTCTCCACCGCCCGGAGCTGCCACCAGGGCACAGGGACCCCCCCTCCTCTTGGAGGCCCTCCAGGATGCTCCCTCCTCGCCTCACTGAATTTCACGCTCTGAGCGGCTCCATCTGTGCGACCGGAGGAATCTTAAAGCCACTACACCCGAGGCGGACTCAGAGGACTTCTCACGAGATTGACCGGCACCCCTGGGCTGGCGGTCCCACCTTCCATGCCCCCTCTCAGCTAGAAACCAGACGCACACACGTCCTTGTCCTTCCCCTCCGACACCCAATCTGACGGACGTGACCGTCCAAACTCGGGTCGGCGTGGCCCTCCTCCGGCCCGAGTGCTCTCTGCCCCTTGCCGGAACCCTGCAGCGGACCCTTCGTGGGTCTCAGGGCTTCAGCTCTCATGCCCTTGGATTTACCCTCCAGACCGACGCCAGAGGAGGAGTCTGGTTGACGCGCAATCTCACCAAGTCACCGTTCTCCTTAAAAATCTTCCGCGCTCCACAGCCCTCCAGGGGGCGGAGTGCTGTGGGTTCTGCAGGCCGCCCCACAGATATGCCCAGGAAATGACGCACACCGCTCGCCCCTCCGTTTCGTTCACGATGCACGTTGGCTTCCTCGGTATCCTGAACACCTTCCTGCCGCCCCGGACACACACGTCCTTCAACCTCACAGGACGTCCAGGCCTCAAGCTCTTTCCTTTTCTCCCCGAAAGCAAAGCCGGAAACCTGGAGTCATTTGGCCTCCTGCTCCCACGCCCCACTGCCCTGAGGGCACAGCGGGTCCCGGAGGATTGCAGGGCCAACGCGGCTGTACGAGGACAGTCACCTGCAGGCTTGGGAAACACAGCTTCCTGGGCCGCACCCCTGACTTACTGCACCCACCTCTCCAGGGCGGGGCCGGGGGTCTGACTGTCAACAGAGCTTGCCCAGGCTGCTCTGATGCGCGCCCCAAATCCCGACTGGCGCGGAGGGGAACCGCTGCTCTTCTTCTAACCCCTCCCGGTCCCCTTCACGTCTCCACTGCCCACAGCACCACCCTTCCCTGCACAGGGCTACGGACCCCTTCCAGTGCTCCTGGCGATGTCCGACCTTCCCATCCACTCTCCGCGCTGAAGCAGCGGCAACTTTACAAAAATGCAACAGGCCCAGGGCTTACCTCTGCTCCTTCTAGGTGACTTTGTGGCCCTGTGCGCTTGGTGGATGTCTTCTGCTCACTCTTGCCTCACCCCCCTCAGACCACGCACAGTAGCGTAGCTGAGGCACGGGGACCCACGAACACACAGCTCTGTCTTGGCACAAATTGTTCTTCCCCCTGCCCTGAGGATGCGAGGCCCTGGCGGGGGTTGGGGGTTGGTTCGCGGGATCTCGCGGGATGCTGGATTCCAGCGGCTACGTCCAGGAGCGTGCTGGGGGTCAGGCTTTCCCGCTTCTCGCTCTGATTGGTCCGGCGCCTGATGCGTAAGGGATGCGGAAAGGGGTCCCCGACTGGGAGCACAAGGGGAATGGCTGGGCGCACCCAGAGGCATCACTGGTTGTGGGAGAAAGCGGCTGCCGTCTCCGGGTGACCCCTCTACTTTATATTATGGATACTCTCAAACACACAGAACAGCGGAGAGAATGGTGCAATGCTTCCCCAAGTCCACATGGCCCACCTTCCACACTTACCCCCTTGTGATGAACCATCTTGGTTCATCTAACCCTCTCCCAGCACCCACTTTAAGAAGGGTGGCCTGCGGTTGGCAGAAGCGCCTCCACGTCCAGCTGGAGGACAGCGGGTGGCAGGCCTGCACCCTGGAGACCAGAACGCCCAGGGCGCAGAAGGGGCATCGGATCTGGGGGCTGGGCTCCCGGCCGCCAGGGGCCGCGGGGGCGGGGCCGAGGGCGGGGCCGAGGCGGGCGGGGTGAGGGGCGCTCTGCGTAGACTCGGGGCGCGCGCTGGGCGCAGAGCGCAGTCTCGGCTGTGCAGCTCCGAGTGCGCCCGCCACCGCCGCCGCCGCCACCACCACCCCTGCCTCCGCCGCCGCCGCCGCCGCCGCCGCCGCTACCATGCCCAACTTCGCCGGTACCTGGAAGATGCGCAGCAGCGAGAACTTCGATGAGCTCCTCAAGGCCCTGGGTAAGCGGGCTCGGATGCAACCCTTGGAGGTGCTGCGGAACCCCCAGGGGGGTGGGTTTCGGGGACCGGCCCCAGGCAGCAGAAAGTTCCCGGGAAGATATATCCGCGGTGCTCGCCGTGTATGAGCGGGAGTGGGCCCGCGCGTCCAGCGCACGTTGGCTGGGTGCTGGGCGCCTTCCCCGACGGCTCTGCCTTTATCTCCTGCTCGATAATTGTGAGGAGAGATTTATTCTCGGAGTCCAAGGAGGGTCACGGACTTTAAATTTGGGGATTCAGTTTGAAGCCGGGCCTTCCCAGGGAAAGCCACTTACTCTTTCTGACTTTCTCACCCGGAAAATCGGGACGGGGCCAGGGGATAACGGCTCCGTTTTAAGGCTCCTACCTGCAGTCAGAGGGTGTGGAAGGTGCCCCCAGTCCAGGGACCCGAGCCCGCGGCTTGCGTGCTTCCCGGCAGGTGTGAACGCCATGCTGCGGAAGGTGGCCGTGGCGGCGGCGTCCAAGCCGCACGTGGAGATCCGCCAGGACGGGGACCAGTTCTACATCAAGACATCCACCACGGTGCGCACCACCGAGATCAACTTCAAGGTCGGAGAGGGCTTCGAGGAGGAGACCGTGGATGGACGCAAGTGCAGGGTGAGCTGCAGAGCCGGGCATCGCCCGGGAATCCCCACACCCTGCCGGTGTGCCGCGCAGCTACGCGCACCCGTTTCCACCCCGCCCCCCGGCCCTGCAGCCTGTGGCGCGCTTTTCCAGCAGGGCGTGAGCACCGCGGTTTTCAGACATCTGTGCAGCCGGGTGCCCCGGGCGGGAGAAAGCCCTAACCCTTCGCTTCCAGCCCCATCCCTAAGCCGCCTCCCGCCGAGGTTTCTGCAGCGCTTGGCGGCGACCCCGGGTGCGGGCGCCTGGGGAGCGGGAGCGGCAGGGCCACCAGGTTTTCTGTCGCAGGTGGATCAGCACCTCTGCCGCCCGCCCTCCCTGGTTCCTTAGAGAAAAGGTGGAATCCTTCCAAAAGCAAGGCGGATTCCTGCTGGGAATGGACTGAGTGCTCTCTCTGTCTCTCAGTCCTCAAGGGCAAGAGTTTTGTATTTCTCCGTGTATCTCCCTGATGAACCCCGGGCGGGGGGCGGGGGGCGGGGAGCAAGGGACTGGATCAGAGACGGGCAAGTTCGCGTTGGGTTGACCTCCGCCCGGAGTGGAATGAACGGTCTGCTACTCCAGCATTTTGAGGACAGATGGAAAAATAATCGCTGCTGCCACCGCTTACATAAAAAGCGACATGTCTTCCTTTCCCTGGTATTTAAAAAAAAAAAGTACTAACAACATTCCAGAGAGTGAGGAGTTGTTTTGTCCTTTCCTGAGTGGTGCCTGTGTGACATCCAGGTGGGCTCCCTGGGCACGGGGCTCCGGACAAGGATGCAGTGAGGCAGCTCCAGGGGCACACCCGCTCCCCCGGCATAATTTGGCCCCGAGAGCCAGCCCGGCCTGAACATGATGTCCAGGCTTGGAGCTGGGGGGGGGGGCGGCATCTGAGCCCCTGTTACCACACGGATCATGAAAACAGAGGAGCAGCAGTGTTGCTAGAGGGGCAGCCTGGTGACAGGCAGAGCTCGAGCTGGGGACAGGGATGCTGGATACTGCCAGAGACCCCGATCCTGATAAAAATGCCAAGGCCCCCACCCCACCACCCCGTGTGTCTCTCTGCTTTGGGCGGACACTGGGGGGGTGGCAGCAAGCTCCTCATTTTGCTTCCCTCCTCCATCAGCATGAGGACCCTCCAGAGGGTTGTTTGGTGTGGTTTTCACTTTTTTTTTTCCCTAGAGGGACACCACCTAGAAAGAGGCAGCGTTTTTATTCTCAGGGCCAGAGACCCGCCCCCCCCAGGTTTCTCGCAGCAGGCTGGCGTTACCTTCAAATCCACATAGGCACCAGAGCCCCCGATTTCCTTGCAGATGTGGGTACACACACACACACACACACACACACGGTGTCTACGCTGTTATAAAATTTTGTAGCTCTGACCTGAGAGTTCTTGCCTTTCAAGTCCAAATTGCTTGAAGGGTAGTCTATAAATGGGTCATTGCACGCTCTGAGTTTTATTCCCGGAGATGTAAAGGCTGCCTGAGCGTTGCTGCCTTGCGTCCGTGCGATATCAGGGATGTGCGCGCCCCGGCGATCCGCCCCCAGCGCCCCGAAGCTGGGCTCAGAGGCGCGGCAGGGGGTCCGAGCCCCGCCGGCAGGGACCATGTGTTGCTTCTCTGCACAGCGGTTGTTCTCTGGCACTCATTGTTGTCCGCACTCCGGCTGCCACGACCGTGATTCATGTCACTAACGGTCTTCCTGCCCACAGAGTTTGGCCACTTGGGAGAATGAGAACAAGATCCACTGCACGCAGACTCTCCTCGAGGGCGACGGCCCCAAAACCTACTGGACCCGAGAGCTGGCCAACGACGAGCTGATCCTGGTGAGGGCCGCTGACCCCCTGGTCCCCGGGCCGGGCGCCGCTGTGGGCGTGTCCTCTCTTGCCCACGCGGGGAGAGGCTTGGCCGGCCCCGGGGTAAAACGCTGGCAGAAAGCCCGAGGTGTCGGTTCGGGTCAGGAGACATCATTGTTCAGTGGGGCCCAGCAGGGGGCTAGACTGTGACCCCCCGGAGGGATCCCTCCCTGCGGCGACTTGCTCTGAGCCAGCCTCCTCGCCCCAGTGCCTCTTGCAGCCCAGGCCCCGTGAGGTCTCAGGGTTCACTTTTTTCCCCTTCTCACTCCCCGACCCTCTGCCTGGGAAAGATTTCAGAAATTTCCTCACATCAGCTCTGGGAGCCCCAGAGAACATTTTCAACCCCCGCCCTCTCCCCACTCCCGGACTCACAAATTCCAATGGCCTTCGGAGCCCAGCAAAGTCCTGCGAACTTGGGAAGTGTCTGTGTGGGCCAGACACTCAGGGAGGGGGCCTGAAAACTGGGCTGGGTGGTCTCTACCCTGAAAGTATTCAGATTAAAACACTGTAAGCAGCCCTGGCCTCACACAAGTTACCCGAGGAGGCAAACTTAGAAACCCCCATAGATTAACCACACGCCTCCACCCCCTTCCTTGTGGGGGTAGGGCAGGGAGGGCAGGACACCCCACGTCACTCTCCCTCTGTGATCAGAACACACCCCACTTTCCTGGCAGCCACCTTCGGTCCCCCAGACTAGAAAACGGAGGCCATTGTGGGTCACCAGGAGGCGACAGCCTCTGTCCTCCACAGGCGTGTCTGTTCACACCTGCCCTCTAGGACGGCTTGCCCCCCTCAGCGCCACCCTGAAATATGGGGAAGGACTCACTGCCCGACCTGGGTGGGCGTGGCCCTTCCCTTCCCAGGCTTCGAGGGGAGGGATTGGGCCAAAGTCTGGTCCCCGAGGTCCCCCTCCGCCCTGGGGTTCCGTACTTATTCTGCCGGAAGTCCAAAACTGAGCTGTCTCTGTGACTGTAGCGCAAGCTCGCTGGTCTCTCCCCCTGTCCTGTGACGATCTCCCAGGCTTTCTCCTTTCTCCTGCTGGTTAGCCTGCAGCCTGGATAATGCTGTTTCCAGGGAGCAAGTACCTGACGCGGTTGGGGGTGGGGGGGGGCAGCAATTAGGGACAAGGACATTTAGGAGAAGAGGACACGCATGGGTTCACCGGTGCCAGAGTTAGCAAAGAGGGAGGCAGTTCTAGAATTTTCGAGGGTGGCTGAGGCTGAGTCGGCTCAGGTCGCTCTGCGAGCAGCTGACCCGATGAACCTCTGTAGTGGCGCAGCAGCCAGAGCGCTCCGGATCGGTTCCGCCAGGGGGATCCGGCCGCCTCCAAGCCCTGCGACGGCGCCACCGCGCACGCGCAGCCTCCCGGGCTCAGCAGACGCGCACAGCGCAGCAAAGGCAGCGTTAATTCCCGGAGTGTGGGGTATGAAACGCGGGCTTTTATTTCGAGGGTTATCCTCATTAACACGTCCAAATGGAGGGAGATGCTGGCTCGAATAATCAGAGGCAAATTAATTCTAGCTACGTTGACATAAGCTGTCCCCCGGGGCCAGCAACACAAGGCTTCCCGAGCTCTTTTGAAAACTGAGTGCCAGCCCTCGGGCCACTCTGGAACATTCTTCCGTTTCTTTTGGGAGCCTCTCAGCACAGTGCCCAGGCTGAGGAGGACATTTCAAATGTGACGGGAAACACAGCGCCTCCTCCTCGTGTCCTGGAGCCGTTTGTCGGCCGGAGTGAGGCGCCAGGTCCAGTTTGTTCAGCGCAGGTCGAGTCCAGTCCCCGAACGCCGGCGTTCCCGTGACAATCCACTCGGAGGACTTGGGTTCTGAGAGGCGAACGTCGGTGGGAGCCCCCGCCCCCGCTCCCCTCCCCCACCCCCGACCCCGCACACAGAATGGTCCACTTGCCTGGCTAATGCAGAGAGGACGGAGCAGGACAGAAGGGTGTCCGGAGCAGGCGCCCCTGCGAGCAGGAGCTCCCTCCCCAGAAGGGAAGCGGTGATGAGGATTTGCTTCCTTAGTTACCACCGACGAGGACGAGTGTTCCCCTGAAACGCGTGCATTGGCTGGACGTCCTAGCACGTGCTCTGTGACAGCACGTCACCACCAGCCCAGGGACCCCAGCGAGGACCTGAGGGTCCAAGCAGATCCAGGGCTTCTAACCTCGCCGGAGCCTCAGACCCTCTGGCAGGAAACCATCCCTCGGCACACAGACACCCGTGTCAGGGCCACAGCCTGGGGAAGCCTTGTTTTTGGGGGGCTTTGATGTTTAAAAAGCATCTTGGTTTCCCTGTCCCATCCCTGGGAGCAACTGCCGGTGTGGGAGAGTCGACTCAGCTGACTCACGGGCGAGTGACTTCAGGGGCCGGAAGAAAACCGTCCCCTGGGTGTGCCGTGGCGCGAGTCCTCCCTGCAGCAAGCCCACAGACAAAGAGCCATAGATTTGAGCGGGAAGGAGCCTCTGGGACCATCCCGTTCAATTCCGCCCACAAATTCTCAGGAGCGGAGACGTGCCCAGCCGTGGTTTAGGGCCGATGCCGCGCGCTTGCAGCTGAGACTGTTTTTGAGGGTGCAGGTGACTGAGTGTTAGGGCCGCAGCCTCTCAGGCTGTCGCCCCAGCTGGACGGCTGCTTCCTGGGAGGCACTTCTGTCCCCTCTCCCGCCCCTCCCATCTGCTGGTCAGCGCTGGACCCCGGGGCTCTCTCTCGAAGTCGTCTGAAAAGAGACAGACAGCGCTCCAGGAATGCCCAACACGACTCTCTCCCTTTCCATTTAATTTCAAAACCAAAGCCCGGAAATGTGGATTGCTGATGTCAGCATTCACCGGTTCCAGGAGCAAAGGAAAACTGCATAGAACATAATTCTATACCCCCGGTTGCCTCTCTGCCAACGCAGAGCTCAAGGGAGGAAAAAAAGAAGGAAAAAAAAGCCCTTAGCACTTAGCGTGAGCACATGGCACAGGAAATTGAATGTCTGTTTCAAAGAGTTTTTAACGGGGCAGTAAGTAGCCTTATTAGCGATATGCTTTAAACATGTTCCTTCCTTCCTGCAGACGTTCGGCGCCGATGACGTGGTCTGCACGAGAATTTATGTCCGGGAGTGACGGCGGCCGTCTTGCTCCTGCTCTGGGGGTGCGGTGCATGTCCCCCCACCCCCAGGAATGTCTTAGGTCTGAGGTGCCAGTGGACGTCCCCGCCCCCGCTGTCGGCATTAGGCGCCCCATTTCCCCACGCCTGTCTGGTAGAGCTGCCCCGAGGCCTCCGGGCCGTGTCCCTGGCCCCCTAGTTTGGCATCTGCACGGTTTCTTCATTAAACTGGTTGGACACATCTCAAGGCGTCTCTGTTGTTCGCAGTGTCTCTCTGCTTGGGCCCTGGGCTGTGCCTGCCCTGCCCCCAGCCCTCGCTGGCCTGGGCCATGCCCGGAGCTTCCCAGGGGCTGCGGGCTGGGATCCCGCCTCAGCATCCGAGGGTGTGTTCTTTGCATTCGTTGATGTGTTGCTGGTTCCCAGCAGGAAAGGGGGGGCATGTCCAAAAGGGTGAAGTGACGAGAGCTCAGAATAAAGGGACTGCTCACGTGGACAGGGCGAAGAAGGCCCACAAGCATGGGAGGGGGGCAGGGACAAGTAGCAGCAGAGCCCCCACCCTGGCCTGAAGGCAGAGGGACAGAGGACCTCAGAGCTGTAGCCTGAGGCCACGGCTCCAGTGCAGGGTGGGTGGGGACCTCTTTGGTTTTGCCTGGAAGCTGGGGGTTAGGGATCCCCCTGTTGTGCCCACTGGTCAAACCCAGCTGGACTCCAGAGGGCAGGAGAGTGTGTGGGGGAGGGGTGGAGGAGGGTGCTATCCAGAGACTCCCTGCCGGGACATAGCCGGGCAGAGAATGGATCTGAACATGCAAATGGACGAGCCACAGCTGCTCGCTTTTACTTTTGAAAAACAGGAGATTGCACATGAAAATCTGGGTTTTCTCTTTCTAGACAAATTGGGGGATCTGGCGTCCCCAGCCCCACATTCCCACAGGGACAGCTGGCCCGGTGGCGTCCCCCTTGTTTGTGGAGCCACACCCTCTGCCTCCCCAGGGGATGCTCTGCCGCACTCAGGTGCTACCTGGCTTCTTGGGCGTCTCTCCTGGCAGAACCTCCGAGCAGCGGCACTCCGACACGGGCGAGGCCTGAAGAGGGGGATCCTCAAAGAGCTCACTGATGGGCAGACCCCTGAGGCCCTGGCACCGGAAAGAAATGAGGGCAGGTTCACCGACGCCTCACACCTCCACAGCCCAGGGCGCACACAGCTCTGTTCACAGGGTGGTTGCGGGGGCACCTGCTCAGACGGAGCAGGCTGCCGGCGCCCACGCTCAGAGCTTCCGCTGCTCACACTGGAACTCCAGGGGGGAGGGATCTCCTGCCCCATCGGGATGCAGCTCACCCCCTGCAGCCTGCTCCTTGGGGCCTCTGTGGTGACTCCTCCCCAGAAAGCGCCAAGGGCTCTGTCCACGCCCCCCTTCCACAGCCCCACAGCCACCAGGCCCTGACACCGGAGGGCAGGCCTGGGTTCTGGGTCAGAGTCCTCAGGGCCTCGCACTGGGCCACCCTTTGTCCGGGGGCCCCAAGGCACCTCTGCTGGTGCCGCAAACCTCCCAGACGACCTCAAGAACGCAGCTCCAGTGCCTGGCTGCACCCCAGGGCCCCCAGGACCTGTGGGCATGGCCAGCATGCCATTCTGATCCTGGTTTTTTCTCCTGTCTGGGGCTGATCGCTCACCAGAAACAGCAAGTGCACACTCAGTGCCCCACAGACGTCGTCTCCTGGGGCAGAGAGTGGGTGCCACAGGCCTTGCCGGGTGGCTTCTTGGAGGAGGGGGGCTGTGGTGGGTCTCTGGGGTGGGGGAGGACAGGGATTGGTATCCAGAATGGGTGGCTCCCTCCTACTCACAACATCGGCTATAGCCTGGTTCCCTCAAATCCTTGTTTCTTCTTCATTTTCCAGGAAAGAAACAAAACAAATCACAGTGCTTCTCCTTCCCTCCTGGAACCCCCCTCCCGTGGGACCCCAGGGTTCCACGGAGCCGGGTCTGGGGATCGCTGCTGTGAGGTGTGTGCACACGTTACGTGTGGCCTAGGATGTGCCACGTGCGTGTGGGGTGAAAACCCACCCCCCGTCGACAATGTCGCAAAAACACCGCTCCAAACGCCTTCCTCCCCTGCCCGGTAGCTCCTCCCCAGTTTGCAGCAGAAACGCTGGGCTCTGCGGCCTGGGATTCATCCGCCCCGATGTGGCCTCACCAGGTGCGTCAGAAAACAGGGGCGTGGGTGTCGGCCAGCACCAGCCTGGACTGCTGGCCACACCGCTAGGGGTGAACCTGGAAAACATCGCTCCAAGGGGGACAAGCCAGTCTCAGAGGACCACGCGTTGCACACGCTCCCATTTACACCGAGCGGCCGGGGCAGACAAACCCCCACACGGAAGGACACTGGTGGCTGCCTCGGGCTGGGGGCGCTGGGGGAAGACGGGGGTGGGGGGGAGCGGCGAGGACTGGTGCAGGGTTTCTTTCGGGGTGATGAAATGCTCTAAAATTGATGGGGTGGGAGTTGGATAACTCTGAACACACTAAAAACCACCGAACTGTACATGTTAAAGGGGTGAATTGTATGCTATGTGAGTTATACTTTAATAAAGCAGTTTGGGCGGGGGAGGGACATTTGAGAGCTTGCGCCCCGGCATATGTCATCAGTTTGCCTCAAATAAACTCTGACAAAAATTCAAAGGAGAATAGAGCTGTTTTTCTTGCATAAAGGAATGTGCTGACCCCCCGCAATGCCCCCTCCCCCACCCCCGTGGGGAGGAACGCTGGGGGGAGGCTCTCAGGACTGGAGACCGAGGGGCAGAACCCGGCCTGGCGGCCCGGACTCCGACTCAGAACCCGAAGGCTCTCCCTCCTCCTCGGGTTCCATTCTGGCTCCTTAGGCAGCCGGTTTGGGTCAGGTGACCACGTCTGGGCCAATCACAACTGAGTTAGGGCACGATGATTGGCAGGGCCCGAGTCACGTGACCCACCCTGGCCCCCGAACCTGCTGGCCTGGGACTTCCCCTCCACCTCCTCGAGTTCTGTGTCGTCTGCTGCTTGGACGAGCTGGCTGTCCTGTGAAGCTCCCGCGGTCCGGGTTTCGACGGTGACACGTCCATCGTCCTTTCTGTGCCCTGTAGTTCTTGTGCGATGGTGGTGAGACCTCAAAGCTCGTCCGACGTGACGTTTTGGACGGAAACGCTGCAGAGGGGTGCGCTGCCCTCCCCCGAGAGGACTCAGTTCCCACCGCCCCTCTTTCGGGGTATTTGCGGCCGCCGGAGGTCCCTGCTGGACCCGCGGTTCGCTGGAGGCTTAAGAGGGAATGTCCTCCCATTCCGTCTTCCTCTCCGAGCCGGGGCACTCCCATGAAAACGCCCTTCCCCCGTCTCCTAGGTGGTCGGCCTGGCCTGCCGTGGATGCGGGAAAGGCGGCAGGAGTGTTTGATTCTTCCCCTGTACTTACTGGTTCCGAAGTGAGGAGCTGGTGGTCCTGGCATCCTTCACAAAGGACCAGCGCATTTTTGTGGGTTGTTTTAGGGGTTTGGTTTGTTGCTCCTTTTTTTTTTTTCTTTTTTGATTGCCCCTGTGAATTTGTGGATGGAAATATATTTGATGTGTTTTAATTCGTTGCAGTTACTATCCTTATGGATGTTGGAAGTGGCCCGCCCTTGGCCAGAGAGGGCCTCCTTAAACGGACTCTCGAGTCTTTGGGGAGGACCCTCATCGTCTTTGAGAACTTCCTGGCCATGTGGCCCATGAGTCCAGCTCCAGGCTTGTTTTGTGCATTTCCTGTTCCCGAACCAGGCATCAGCCATTTCTCCAAAGAAACTGGTGGTCTGGCCGTTGGGGGAGGGTCTGCTTTAGATGGTTAGAGCCCCGGAGGCAGGTCGCAGCCAAGAGTTACTCTGTGGTCCTTTGTCCCTTCTTCTTCTGCCGAAGACAACGCTGAACAACATTCACGTGTCTCCAGCACTCCGGTCAGCTGTCTGAGAACCCCGTCTCTTCCTGTCTGCTCAGAAACCTGACTGGTTCCAACCCAGCCCATGCGGCAGGGGAAGAAGGTGGAGGAGGAACTGGGAAGTCTTTGTCTGCAGCTCAGCACTAGGCTCCGAGGGCTAGTGCTTTGAAGAGGATGTGAATTGATGGGCAGCGGTCACTTCCAATCACACCTCTTCCCTTGTGGGAGGCGGGCTTCGTGTTCTTTGCTTTGGGAGAAGGAGTGAGCATGATTTCTGGGCAGAGAGCAAATTCTCACAAGGATTCTGCAAACGTTATGTGTTGTATTTATTACAAGTGGGTAATTTATCTTTCTGGGAAAGTTTCCTGCAGACGTCGAGAGACGTACTCAATAAAAAAGAATAGATGACAGTCACAATTTTATAATTCCATTTGTTTCCACAAGGGAAGAAAGTTCATCAGTTAAGGCGGAGGACCGGGAGGGGTTATGGGTCCCTGAGGGGGAATTCGATCAAGGTCTCAGAGCAATCATCCTCAGGGCGAGCGCGAGTTCGGGATTCCAGCATAAAAAATGTTGGCTTCTGAAACGGTGTGTAGGAAAAATATATGGAGTCGTAAACTCTGACAAAGAACATAATGAAAAGTGAAAACTATGACAAACTTTGGGAAAGGAATCCAGTTCTCAGAAACACATGGACTGAAATGAACATTAGGGGTTGTTGTTTTTTTTTCCCTCGTCCCTGCTCTCAGAAATAGGTTCAGAAAAGTGTGAAGTCCTCTCTGACCACCTTTTAAAAAACAGTGAGTGGGGTCATGCCATTCTGATGCAGAGAACACGCCAGGAGACCAGAGTTGCCAGCCCTGGCTCCGTGGCCCTGGCCTGCTTGCACCCAGCCCTGGGCCCTCGGGTGCCCACGTGTGCGGGGCTGAGGTTGCCAGGGGTGGGCAGAGGCTGGGTTGGCTGCGTATGAATCGTCGGCAAGCACCCAAAATGCCCAACAAGGAAACGGTTACCTCGATCTCGACCGGCCACTTCATGGAATTCTCTGCAGCGTTAAACGGAACGAGGGAGACGCATGTATACTAACGCAGAAAGATGTGCAAGCGATTTTACATTTCTTAAAAAAAAAAGAGTAATGATTAAAATTACATGGTCAGCTTGTTCCAGGAAAAACACAAAACCCCGGAGGACACGCAGCAAGCTGTTAATAACGGTTACCTCTGAGGCCTGGCTGTTTTTACTCTCGTTATTTCTGTATTGTTGGCATCGTTGAGAGTGAGCGTGTATTACTTCTGTCATTTAAAACAAAAT